TTTTTTTTTTTTTTTTGCAATGGGGTGCATTTAAATTTCGCAACTTGTTTTACCCACTGACCTTGAAAAGTGGATTTATACAAATTGACTGACGGCAGCTGTGCCTATTAGGGTGGCTCTGAATCAGAATCTGAATCCGATTTTGGTGCTCAGCTGGCTCAGGTTGCAACAATCCCCCGGCCTCCGATCCGCCCTTTATTGTGCAAAACATTTCCTCAACGCAAAAAGAAAAAAAACACCAACAACAAAGAGAAAGAAACAAAAACAAAAAAGGGCATTTGGTCTCTTGGTCTTATCAACGAATCGCTTATCGTTTGCTGAGAAGCCATTAACTTGTTTTCCATGATTATATATGTAGATATTTACATGTATTGATTCGATTGCTTTGCTAATCGTTCAATCCCAGTGGATCGTTCTTTCTGTTTCTGTTTGCCTTGTTTGGCCAAATTGTTTTGGAAAGCTATCGATTTCATCATCATCAAAGTGGGTCACTATTTTGACTATGCAAATCGGTTTATTACGCACAAATTGCCGAATCGCACAATATGCCCAATCGAATATTCATATAGAATGCTCATCTATGGGCTAGGATTGTGTGTTTGGGTGTTTGCATATGAGGCTGACCTATATGGATGTAACTCAAGTAAATCTTATTATCCCATACGATGCCTAAGGTATACCAATTTTAATTGTCTAATATGTGTAGACTTCAAAGGCATTTAATTTTAATGTTTAGTTTCATTCTATTCTATATTCTGCAAATACTTTTGAAGAGTATTCACTCATATACATATATTATTATAATAAAATTTCCATTCCATATACAGGTGCCTCAATTGTTATTGCAGTAGGACATAACTGAGTGGAAAATAATCTTATTGCAGTGTAATATTGTCTAGGAACAGGTGGCAAACCACATTCTTGAGCGGGGTGTGTGGTGATGTGGAAGAACATTGAGTGACTCGACCATTGAATATATTTTAATATACCTTCCACATCTTTTGACTATTCAGTTGATACTTTTTGCTATCAAAGTATAAATTGACGACTTATCACTTTAATCATCATTTATCATCTTGTTTGAAAAAGTCTTATCTTTGTACTTACTGAACTCATTACAAACGAGAAACTGGGTCTACTGAAGTTGTGCAAAAGTATGTAACAGGTAAAAGAAAGCATGTATATATCTTGATCAGCATCAGTATCCGATTTGATCTAACCATCTATTAAATTTCTTTGTTTATATGAGCACAACTCTATTAATTTTAAAACTATTTTGATGACACTTGCTAAGTTGTGGGATCGAGATAAGCATAGACAATGATGCCACCTTTTCTGGGATAATAAAACTGCACAAATGAGGATTATTCAGTTGAGAGCCAATCGTAAAACAGAAAACATCATTTATAATAATATTTGTGAGACTCAGGATTTCTACGCCGTAATCTACGGCGTATCTACGACAGCTAAATTTTCTCGTTGTTTGTGCCCATCAAACAACTTGGTTATCTTGAAGTACTGCTTCATTTTGAAATTCGAATGTACTTGCATTAAAAATTTGATTTGATGACATGTTGAGTAAGTTCCGAAAGGCTTTTGAGCTCAAAGTTATTAAAATGTGCAGCCAAAAAAAGCAGAAGAGGAATGGATTATTTATTGCAAAGTGAAAAAGGAAGTTTGTGGCACAGCTGCTTTCAAAAGGCTGCAAATGGCAAATGCAATAAAACGAAATTAAATTGCTATTTTGCATTTATACGAGTATTATGGCATGTTGAATATACACAATCACATACACACACACACACACACACACGCTTACACACACTCGCGCACACACCATAAATTGATACGAACTCTTTGTCTGCATGCCAAACAATAATGGTAACAAAAACTGCAACAACAACGAAGGAGAATCCTTTGACAACAGCTGGCCACCAAAAATCCAAATAGTTTTATAGTTGAATGGCCCCAAAAAATGTGTGCTGTAATTGCTTGGTGCGTTTATTAAAATGCATAAATTAATAGAACATTTTCCAAGGGGCACCTTTCCAAGTGAGTGTGTGTGTGTGTGTGTGTGTGTGTGGCCCATGTGCGGCACTTTAAAAAGGGTTTAAGGCACGCAATTTGTGCGCTGGCTAATGGCCAAACAATTAGACTTAGTTATTGAGAGAAGGGTCGCATATGCGTCCCTCACCCTAACCCATAACCCCCCCTCCGCACCATTAAAGACAACCCCCAACAAATGCACTCTCGAAATGACCGCAATTATGAACTCCCCCAGTTTTGACAATATATATATATATATAAATATAGTCTTGGACTGTGCGTAGCTGTCGCATCTCTTTGCCTCAAATCAGCGCTATTAATATTAAGTGGATTAATATTTAATGACCAATGCACACACACACACACACACATATACACACACACCGTGTCCATAGTCCGAGTCCCGGTTCGTGTCCCATATGCCATGTATTACTGTATCATAATCGCATGCTCTTAACTGTTATGATCCCATCTCATTGCCTTTATGGTTACATTTGCAGTTTCCATTTCCGTTTTGGTTGTCCTCGTCATATTCTAATTATAGCATAACACGCGCTTATTACCAGGATTTTGATGACCTCCGACCTCTCTCTAATAATTATTATACCCTGGCCATTAAAATGCCAAATTGACGTGAGTTTTACGTGCATGTGCTCCATATATATATACATATATATACCAAATACTGGCAAAAATCCCAATTGAATGGGCGTCACTAATTGATAAATGGCTCTTCTGCGTGGCTGGCTCCCATATCTAGAGGGGGATAGAGAGATAGATCTGCGTATTATTTTTGATTGCTGTTGGCTCGAAAATATTTACAAATGATTCGCAATTCGCATCTGAATTCAAGATAAGGCAACTACTGCAACGCAGTTTGCAACTGAAACACGTCAGTCTCTGTCAGCCAGGGAGAGAGAAGAAAATAGCCTAGCGCTAAGCGTATGGATCAGTCATGCAAATTTATTAAGAAGAGAGAAGAAAATTCCCAAGCAATAATTGTCAGCTTCAGCCAGACAAGAAGAGAGAGAGAGAGAGAGAAGAAAATACCCTTGCGATAAGCGCGACATGCATAATGCGTCTTACGTAATTTGTGGCATCGTCATTCGCTGACTCTTTGTCCCGGCTTACTCAACTTGCAAAATGGCTTCCCCAAGTGAACTTCACTCGTCCACAACTCGAACCGTGTGCAACCCATGACTTGATGACGTGTTCCTTTCGCTGGAACGTTGAGTTATCGACTTGTCGAGTGCTTCTTGATAAGATAGACAACTTGAAAATTTCTGTAGACTCTAGAGCTACTTAGATGGCCATATAATCAATGTAATCGACAAGACTGGTCTAAGCGAAAAACTGCACATGTTACTTTGTTTTCATAGGAATTGAAATCTGAACTTGGTTTGAACTATAAATTAATTTAGAAATTATTAAAGAATAAACAATCTTCAGAAGGGTTTCCTCACGGGTGTTTTAAAAAAGGCTTGTAGGCATAGAAACCTCAGCAGGGACCACTTGATATAACCACTTTAAAAAATCATGTGGTACATGCTAAAGATAATTATAAGTGAAACAATTTGAGACATCTAATTTTAACGAAGACACTTCAGCTGGAGAAAAATATAAGATACATTGTTAGTTATACAAAACGAGGGTTTATAAAAAATAAACCCGTTTATATTTTTAAAATATGTATAGAGTCTTAGCTAGAAACTGCTCATCAAAAATAAAAATAAATTAATTTATTGATTTTATTGAAATCTTCTTTAGCTGTTAAATAAATATTTTGCTAGCATTGTTGGCCTTCATTCAAAATAAATGTTTGTTTTCTCGAATAAATATTCTACATTCAAAGCTTACATAAAATGAATAATGTAATTTGTTGTTTCTGTTGAAACCTTCTTCAGCATTAAAATAAATATCTGGCTAGTTTTGTTTATCTTCATTCAAATTGAATGTTTTTATTCTCGAATAAATGTTCTACATTCAAAGTTTCCATCAAATTAACAATATAATTTGATGTTTCTATTGAAATCTTCTTTAGCACGAACATAAATATTTACTAGCTTGGTTCATCTCCATTCAAATATCAGGTTTATATTCTGGAAGAAATGTTCCACAACCAAAGTTTACTACTACTACAGCTTATCTCTTTATAATTTTCCGACGCTCAACAGGAAGTTGTTCACGCTCAATCCAATGGAAACTTGTGGATTTGTATTGTAATCTGGGCAAAGTTTGTTATTCTTTGCAATTGCCAAACAAAAGCGAATTATTTTTGGCTCGTAAGCTTGCAAGTAGCTCAAAAGTTCAACCTTGGCTCATGTTTCACAATATTTAGCTATTTAGTAGTAATACTTGCTGCGACAGCAAAATGTAATCAGAGTCGAATGCAAAGTACACGCCCAACTGTCCAACTGTCCAGTTGTTCAGCTGCCCAGCTGATATCAGCATGTGGAAAGCAAACAGCAAAAAACCAAAGAGAAGACTGTAGTCGAGAGAGCTCGTCTTGGAAATACCCTGAAGTCAGCTGATGAGTGTAGCTTTCTCAACATGAAAATTATTCCATCTGAATGAAATTTACACAGTTGATCAATAATATATTTATATATATTATACATACATTGAAAGGCTATATCTGTATGTGTCTTTTATTGCAATCGCAAATCGATTTATATCGATACTCGATAAATGTGTACAGCTATCGACTAAATTATGTAAACTTGAAATGCTTATTCCCGATTGGCAGCCAGGAGTAAATCGAGTCGACGGTTATTGCTGATCAGGAATATATATATACTCAATATTTTAGTCTTTCCGTGACATACTCAGGCATAAATTCATTACACTCTTCGTACCCATTTGCAATGAGTTGAGGATATTCTATAAATATGTGAACAGCAGACGCTTTTTGCAATTGTTCGCATGTTTAACAGCAAACAGTAAAAAACTGTGTGTATTGTGGTATTTATTTAATTATTTATTTAGCTCGGTAACATAATTTAAAGATACATTTGCTCATGTGAACACTGCTAACTTAAACGTTATCACAAAGCATGTGCATGCGTTTTGTGTGTAGTGTAGGTGTGTGTGTGTGTGTGTTTGTTTGTGTGTTCGCTGGTAAATAAATCAAAGTTGAATAATAAGCGATTGTAAATCAGATGTTTCTGCTTTTGTTGTTGCTGCTACTGCTGCGGTTTGATTTATTTAACACAACTCAGATGACAATTCAAATTTAGAAGAACGCAGCGCGTGATTTTTTTTTTTTTTCAATATATTAGTATTTTTTTGGGGGGAATTTTTATAATACTAGAAAACTTTAGTTGTATTTTGAAACAGAATGATGAGTGAATTTGGATAACAGCTATTTTGGGTGTGTTGCTTATTGCTTCTGCAGGTACTCGTCGAAAAGATAGACAGAGAGGGAAGGCTCGCGTACGCTGACCAGCTTGGACAGATCGTTGGCATAGCCAGAGAGTTTGCGCACAGATGCCGCCTGCTTGCTGAGGAAGTTATCCTGCAGGTAATGAGCCATCTCGGGATCGTGGACGCGACTCTCACTGCTCGCGTGGGTGGCACTGGTGTGCACGTGGATGGCGCCCTGAGTCAGTTCCTTTTCGTTATCGAGAGCACGGGCCAGAGACTCCAGTTCGCTGAGATGCACCTCGGGAGGATGGGCGATACCATGGGTGTTGGGCTTGCTGAAGTCAACGGTGCCGCCGCGACGAGTCACCTGCTTGATGAGGTCAATAGTGTCGTCGAAAGCACGATCGGACATGTCCTGGTAGAGCTTCTTGAAACCGGGTCGGTTCATCTGGTAGGAGTTGAAGTGGGTGGCCATCAGCATGTACTCGTACGACTTCTTCAGCTGCAACTGGATGTAGTCCTCCATCTTGTGCTCCAAATGGCCGATGGCACCATAGCGAGCATTACAATTCTTGACACCACCTGTGAAGGGTGCATACAAAGTGCAGAAGCATTTAGCATTGATGTCAGTGGTGGGTTAATCATGGAATCAAGGAAGTATTTTCGCTTACTTTCGTCTGAGAAAAAGGCCATGATTGCTTGTTTATTTTTAAAATTAATTAATAATCAAAGGCAAGACAGACACAGTTACAGTTAAAACCGGAACGATTCAACTGCTCACACAAACACTCACACAAGCTCACGCTCTCTCTTGCACTCTCTTCCATTCGTGCTCTCACAATCATGCGCTCTCTTTGTATTTGTTTTTTTTATGGAGTACTCACCGTTGGAACTTTGTCCGCAAGCAGACTGAATGTCGACTTGACAGGTTTGCTCTTCGGCCTGCGCAAGAGCGCAGATGCCCGCAATGAATGCGATTACAATGAAATATTTCATTTTGTTTGTTTTTAACTTGCTAGAAATAGAAGAAACGGAATTTCACAATTATACCTCTACGAATTACAAAAAGAAATGACAGCTAATGCGACTTAAACAAACTAAACACAAAGAGCGAACGCGCCTTCTGCGTCGTAGAGTTTTCTTGAACATTCTCACTCTCTCTCTCTCTCTCTCTCTCGCTCGTTCGCTCGATAGTCAATTTTAAAGTAATTTTAAATAGCCACATAATTCGCTAACACACTTATTATAATCGCAATAATTAACAAACAATTGCACAGCATCACTTACATTAAATTGTCGTTGCTGAATTTAAATTTGTGATTTTTCAGCTCTGCTTTTACGTTTCTTATGTGCTGACTGCTGGAACTCAAATCGTTGACTGCTGTTTATAGCGCCGAGTTTGTCTCGTTTCTATGCCTCGGCAATGCCACGCTCTCTGCGCCAGTGTGAGTGAATGCGCGAGTGTGTGTGCGCCAGTGTGTATGTATTGGTATTTTGTTTTGCACTCGTCGTCTCTCTGTTGGGGATTTTGTTGTCAGTCAAACATGGCTCGGGCAATATGGCCGCGTTTCTCTTGTTGGTGTTGTTGCTTTTGCCTTTGTGTTGTTTTTCTTTGTGATTCAGAATACCATGTCGCAGTCCAACAGGGTTGCCAATATTCTCTAAATTCTAATATCAGCATTAAACTATGATCTTTTTATTTCATCAAATAATTAAATAATGTATTTTTTACTGCAAACTGAAATGTGGTTTGGATTTATTGCCACATAGGAAAGGCCAAGGCTAAAGAATTTTCCAACATGTACTTCAATGCTACTCATATGCAATCAATAAGGCGTTTGTAATTTTTCCTTATCTTTTAGTAAAAGTCTTATCTGACATGGGTCATCAAGATTCAATTTATTAGCACCTATCGTTAGTTGCCATGTTAGCACTGATAGTCGATCAAAATGTTGATTGATCCCATAACATCCATGCTGTTTTCAGTAACTCCAACCAGGTATTAAGCCATCAATTTTCAGTTCACGTCGAACACGAGTACTCGGCAACCCGTGTCATTTTGCAGTCAAACCAGATTGTATTATAGTGAAAGCTCGACTGTTGTCTACCCTAGATAAATAAATATCAAATTACAATATATAAAATTCACCAGGCAAGCATGCCACTTAACTTTAACCAATGTTAAGACTTATTTTAACTCAATTTTAATTTATTGTAAGCTGTGACTTAAATTTTAATAAATAAATTGACAATTGTCTAAAAATAACATTCTTGTAAAAATTTAAGTTACTCTGAACATAGCTCTTTAAGGCTTACAAAGAACATGGTAAGTGACAATGATATATTCTGTAGATTTTATTTTTAGAAATCATGTGTGATATACCTCTCGTACCATGTAGAGGGTATTTGAGTGTAACAAAGAACAGCTGACTGGAGAGCCTCGACGGCCATTCGTCGGCCATATTGCCAGTAGGCATTCTTCAAACAACAATATTTGGTATTGAGGACGTGTGGAAGTGAATGCAGTAAATTAAGTACGCCTATCAAATGGCATATTATTATTATCAAAACGACAACAACAATGACAAACCAAGCCACGACATATTGATTTGATAAGAGCGAAAATACACACACACAAACACGCACGCATTTATATACACAAACATTGAGCGCATTCACGTACGTGTACAAATACATGCACACGCTGCGCTCTTTGTAGCGAGGAAACGTTTAAAAGTGTTTTGCACGACACTGGCACCGACAGTCAGCATTCACATTCAAATAGAGAAGACGCGTAAAGCAGAGACGGATTTAGGAATCAGTATCATAAGGTACCGGAAGAATCGAGAATAGGGTGCATAATTGAAAGGAAGCCCAATTGACAGTAAGAGCAAGCATCGCCTTCTATGCCAGTGTGTGTAAAGGCAGCTGTGAAATACACCAGAGACAGACATACGAAAGAGGGATAAAGAAAAACACATACAAAGATAACGGGTCGACTCGAAACTTCTATTTAACATTGGCAGACTAAGCGAAACGTCTCATTTTCATTTGAGCATTTAGGCAGAGCACGTAAACAACAACTACCAAATTGATTCCATTGATTTTACTAACTGAAAGTGATAAATTTGTTCTGTGATTTTGTGTAAAGACATCAACAACAACAGCAGCAATCCGAAGAACAAAAATGGTGAAATTAATAGCGAGTATATGTTTGCTGGTCGTTCTGGCTGTTGCCAACCAGGCCCAGGCAGAAAACTTTAACTGTAAGTATTAAAACATTTAAATATTTTAAAACTAGTCCGTTTGATTCAAACAAAACAAAAATTCACTGAAAAAACCAATAAAAATTCGACGCAATTCGCTTTCGATGACGACGGAGAGTGAGGTCAAACAATGAGAGAGGGAGAGGGAAAGAAGAGAGTGGAATTAAGAGCGAGCAGCTGTGCGTGCTGCGCATGCATGAATAAGAGCGCCGTCTTAGATCAGCTGTTGTACTTGGCTGCTGCTCTTAAAGTCCAATTATGGTGTTTACTAAAACCGAATTGATTTGTCTTATGGAAATCGCAACGATTTCATTAATTTGCATATGTGTTGTATAATGCGTTAACTTTAGCTTCATCGGCCGCATAACGGCAGCTGTGCATAACGCAGCTCTAAAACCGCTTCTCCCTCTCTCTCCAAACCTTTGTTTTTGTAATTTTTGCACACTGCCCTCTCGGCACCATGATATAAATAAGTCTAAGCTTGGCTGTGACTGTGTGAAAGGGTGAGAGATAGAAAGAGCATTTATTTTTGCACACGGCACAAAATCAAAACAAATGCCGTTACTATGGCGACACTTGCGCACGTTCCCACAAAGAGAAAAAGAAATTGTAAGTGATTGAGAGAGTGAGCATTATTGAGCACATTACATCGCTTTGGTGCACTTTTTTCGTTCATGATTCTAGAAATTTGAATTGCATTTGCAATTGTAAGCGATGCTTATGTAATGAAAATCCTTGCCATCCACAGCTAAACAGACCAGTTTTGTGGAGCAATTTCAAAATCAAAAGTGTCAAGAAATAGCGCAAGAACAATTCGATTTTGAATGTAGGTTTAACGGGGAAGTTCTTTATATTTTTAGCAGCTTATATATATTTCGATGTATGTTTAACATAATGAATCGTTAATTTATTGGCTGGCAGGCAACATCAAATCGAATGCGGTTTTCAAGGGATGGCCGGACATGAGGGAGCCCTGCATTAGGAGCATGCGGGACCAGATCCAGAAGGAGATTTCAGCCTCGACCCAGTACATGGCCATGGCTGCCTACTTCTCCAGCGACACCGTCAATCGTCCCGGCTTCGCCGAACACTTCTTCAAGGCAGCCAAGGAGGAGCGCGAACATGGCTCCAAGCTGGTCGAGTACCTCTCCATGCGTGGCCAGTTGACCGAAACCGTCAAGGACCTGATCAAAGTACCGGTTAGTATTCAAACTAAATGAACTAAATTCTTTTTTATATTTTACTTTATTTTCAATCATCATCATCTCTTGTTTAATAAAGTCTGTTAAGGTGACCAACTGGACTGGTCTGAGCGCTTTGGAGGATGCCTTCAAGCTAGAAACGGAAGTGACAAAGTCCATTCGCGATCTGATCAAGACGTGCGAGGGCAGCTCGAAGAAGGGCGATGACAACGATTACCATCTGGTTGACTATCTGACTGGTGTCTATCTGGAGGAGCAATTGACTGGCCAACGCGAGCTGGCCGGCCAGATTACCACATTGGAGAAGATGATGTCCTCGCACGGCGAGCTGGGCGAGTTCCTGTTCGACAAGAATATGTAATGTGCCAAGCCCATCCAACCTGGAAACAACGTCTACTCCAACTCATTGTCTAGCTAAAGAGCCATCAAATAATAGTTTTACTGTGCATCATTATTTAAAATTACCTGTTACTAGCCGAAGTCGAAATCATCGCATCAAGTATTTTGTTATCTACACATTTTTGCCCAATTTAGTCCATAATTAAATCATACTGAAAAGTTAAAGACTTTCTTTTGTTTTGCTTCAATAAATATTCGGTTTCATTCCTATGCACGGTTAAATCGACGACTTCTTGCTCTTTTCTTATCAAGCCAATTGTTGCACACTTTTTTGATTGGCGTCAAATATTTATCAATACGTTTAGATGACATACAAAGTTGTGATTTATTTGCAATGTGTTGTGTATTATAATTTCGTTATCGCCCACTCAAGCTCAAAAGTTCATGCTAAATGTCTGGCGGTAGTTTCTATAGCCGTCTACATCGGAATTCATCTGAAATTATATAATCCATTTAAATTACATTTAGTTTTAAATGAAGTACAATATATGCATATATTTTTCTGTCAATTAGTCAGTAAAGTTATTCAATAATAAAGTTAAAGATAAAAACAAATCTAAGAGGTTTTACTATGGTTGAAATTTTTGGAAATTTTTTTTATACTCTGATACCGAAGGTATCTAATAATAATCGATATTCGCAAATCGATAAACCCACATATCTCCCACCTACGTTCATAATAATTTTAAATGGGTATATCTTCCGCAGTTTTTGAGTTAGCGCCATAAAATTTGGTAGGTATATTGCTGGAAGACGTCTTTAAGAACCGATCCCAAATTTGTATGACCACGCCCACACCTGCGCCCATAATCGCCAATACCGATATTTCGGAAAGTGTAAATCGATAGATCCGCATATCGCCTACAATTCTAAAGATAGAGTTACCAAACTTCGAAGGTAACTTGCTGGTTACCTCCTTCAAATATCGGCATATGCATTTTCAGATCACGCCCACACCTGCCGCCTCCAGGAACTTCGACCCTAGAAATCGGAAATGCGCATATCTTCCACAATTTGTAAGGTAGAGTTACCAAAGCTTATACGTATATTACTGGTAACTTCCCTAAAAAATTGGACGGCCACGCCTACTCCGCCTTACCAAACTGATACACATGTTAGGGTAAATCGATAAAACCATAAATCTCATACAATTTGAAAGCTCGAGTCACCAAATTTGACAGGTATATTGCTAGTAAGACCCTTCAAAAATCAGGATAAAGGTCTATAACTCCCGCAATTTCAGAGCTATAGCTAACAAAATTGTAGAGTAAATTATTAAGATCGTCCACCTAAATTTTTATCGGCACGCCCACTTTTTAAAGACAGACTTGGAGTAGAGATTACGAGGAGTACAGATCGGTATTTCTTAGCTACACCCACCCTCTTCTGTGGAACCGGTTTTCAGATGGTATTATTAATTAATATCAGAGTATTTCGCAGTCGGATACGCCCTACTGCAAAGTTCTCACTTGTCTTAATGCTTGCATTTATTTTCAGCAAGCGTGCTTAAAACTATGCAATTAACAAACTCAATCCATTTTTTGTTTAGTCATTTTTTAAAGATCATTTTATTTTTCAAATGTTAAGAAAATGTTGACATTGAATCATTTTATCAAAGACGATCAATCTTTGCATCGAGCCGAGTGTTTTATGGTCACGTATTGTCTCTCCAGATGGAAGTCTTATCTTTCCAATCACATTGTATATTCCATTTGATAAAAGTGCCGTTGGGCCCCATTGACCCTTTTCTGAGCTTGCCGAGCTCTAATCCGATTTGGGAAGACACAAAAAGCAGAGCATAAGGCAGAGCTTGGCGTGTGTGATGTGGAACAGGACGAAGGATGTGCCGGACATGGTTTGGGTATTGAAAGAATAATTCATAAGTCACTTGTAAAAATGTCATGCACTTGAACAGGCAGGCCACGAACACTAACCCCCTGCCACATGCCCCCTGTTCAGCCTGCGGCAAGTGGCTAATGTGTGTTCGTTCACCCTTTCGTTGTAGTGCGCTGCTCGATGATTGACAGGACATGGCATGCATTGAATTATGATAAATTGTGGCAACTGTCAAATGGCTCTGATGATGCTTCTTATTTGTGCTTCGGACTCCATTCACTTCACCAAACCATCCCAATCCCCCTGCCAGGATTTGTTCGTGCAGGCGAGCGTGACCAATGCGCTCGTCAATGGCTTGTCAATCGTGGCGCATTTTAAACAATTTTATATAAGCTAATATTTGAACAGATGTACCACGGCAGACCACAACTAAAGGGCGTGGTTCATGTTTTAAAATTGCATCAATGGTTTTGCAAATGCTTTCTTCGATTTTTGGTTTTCTTTTTCTTCGCAAATATTTAAGCGCAATTTGACCCGCAAAATTGGTTAGCCAATGGGGTTGGTAGGGGGGATGTGTGGGGGCGTGGTCTTGGTCACAACGTCCAGTCCAGCATATTAATCTTGGCCAGCCATGAGACAAATTTTGCGTGATAGCAACTTGTTTTTTGGGGCATTGGTCATGCTTTTGGCTCATCATTTTTATTGCATTTTTTTTGATGCCCAAAACATTTTTTGTGTGTCTTTTGGTTTTTTTTTCTTGGCTAGCCTAGTGATTTATTCTGCGCATGTGATACTGATAAAAACTTGTGTCCGCTTATCACATTGACATTTGTTGTGCCTGCTGACAAATTTGCAACGGCTGACAGTCGCTGTCGTGCCACTCACCCTACCCCATCCCCCCACTCCATCCCCCTGCCCACACAATGTGGAAATGTGGAAAATGCAAGGCGCAGAACGTAAAGCGTTAAACGTTCAAATCCTTTTTATTGCAACCCTAAAGTTGAATGACGATGTCTGCCCGTTTGATTTAGGGCGTCGGGCCGACAGGGTAACGACTCCTCCTGGTTTGGTTGTGGCATCGAAGTGGATGCCGTATCGTGGCCCGCAGGACATTATACTCATCATAACTCATAACCGTGCAGTCAGCTCGGTCTTTGTCTTGACTTCTGGCTAGTGAAAGCCACGCACTTTCTTCCCGCTTCCTGCTCTCTGTTTGGCTTTCACACGATAAATCCTCCAAGCACTCCTGAGCTGTGACAGGCCTGGCATCGGCTTAAGCATGTCACTTAAAACCGGTTTAACGTTGGCGACATTCCAATTGAATTCCGCTTTTCAATTGAAATCTTGTATAAAAATATAAATTAAAGTCATACAATAAAACTCTGAGCTATAAGTAAAATATGCATCTATTTATAGAAATACTCGTAGTCCTAAAAAGAAGTCTCGAATTCAGCTAAAGATTTACATACAGCTCACGTTATGGCTTTGTTTCGAGATTGGCTCGTTCAAACAGACAGACTAAATCGACTCAACTGTTGATCCTAATCACGCTTCCTTCTTCTGTGAATCTTCCTCTCCATACGAATCCCGACACGATTTAAAATATAAATCGGAGTATTTAAATGCACTTGACCTGCAGCCAGTGATAAATATTTTTATAAAAAGAGGTCATCAAACCATAAACCAAAAAAATACATTTAAACTTTCAATTTTAAAGTGAAAATTTTTCTTAAAAATAAAATACAAAATTGTTATTACGTATTAATATTAGATATAGTTTATATAAGTTACCAACTAGCAAACCTCATATACACTCCATATTCAGCAATTAAGAATAATATTTAGATCGTTATAAAAAAAACAATTACATTAATTGAGCATAAATAATGAAATTTATAGCTTATAAAATTCAGTTCTTACAATTCATTTAAGCCATTTCTCTATGAAATATAAGCCGCAGAGCCAGTTTATTTAAGTGAGCTTTAATCGCATTCATTTGAATAGTTAACGGGGAGTTAGTTAAGCACACGTGTTAGCCCAATTCCCGTGAGTTCATCTGTGCACCTATAATCAAATGATGTCGTCAAACATTTTGATTAAAATTCTGCAGACATGTCCAAACACGTCGAAAATCCTCCAACTCCTTGCCGCCTTGGCATGCGGAATGCCAAAGCATTATTGAAATGTCTTAGCAGCTGTCCAAACAGAAATCTGCCAAAGCCCAAACCCATTCGCAACCCCAAAAGGAAAGCATTCGGCCCATGGCTGGGCCATGGCAAGGCGTCTGCTGATTTAGCATATTGACTGCTCTGGAGCAAGGAGCAACTTATACAAGATTTATGCGTGCGCCGTCCGCCAGGCGACAGCACAGATAAAAAGGATTCGTGGTGCGACCCTTCGTCCCTGCCTCCAGGACGAAGCAGGACGAGTTGCGAGTTGCCAGTTGCGAATGCAATAAATTTGATTTGCATATTAGCACACCAGCAGCGAACATAGCTGGTGGGTGTGGTCGGGGGCTGTGTGTGTGTGGGGTGGAGAGGGAGCAGGGGGGAGGAGGAAATGGACTCCTGCTTGCTTCGTGCATGTGCACCCTGTGTGTGGCCATTTAGGTAAAGGATTTGAAGCACGAAATCTTGCTTAAATTGGAAATAAATCATTAAAAATATGTGGCAAGCATTTGGCCCCAGGCACAGCCTTTGTCCAGTTAAGGGCTTTTTGCAACAATTTCAAGTATTTGTGGCATGCATGTGTGTGTGTGTGTGTGTATGTGTGTGGGGTGGGGAACCATCTTGTAATTCCCTTTGATTTATAAAGATAACGACACATTGTCATGTTTAATTTGCACCCTGCCCAAATCTCAGCAATTTGCATAAATCTTAGAAGCTTTTTTTTGTTGTTGTGAATGCTTGTGTGGTCAGCGTAGATTACAAACAAATATGACTTATCCAAAGTTTTCTAATTATGCATGCTCAGAATTATTACTTTTAACGGACGCTTTGGGGAATACTTTGGCCTGACAGTTTTTAACTGACCAAAAGGCGAAAGTTTTTAGGGCGCAACAAAACTTTTAGTAACTCGCTCGGCTATCGTTTTTCTTTGGGGTAGATAAAGTCTGATGTGTGTGTGTGTGTGTGTGTGTGTGTGTGTGTGTGTGTGTGTGTGTTGTGTGTGTGTGTGTGTGTGTGTGTGTGTGTGTGTGTTTTTTTTTTTTTGTGTGTGTGTGTGTGTGTGTGTGCTTATGGGTCTCGCCACAGTTCAACGGCCAGAAATGTGCAATGTGAGGCAGTTCCCTCGAGTGCGATTCAATGCTCTGAACTCTAAACTGGAAACGCAGTTCAAAGGCCATGCAAATAAAATGCTGATTTGCCTGCCGGAATGAAAAACAC